ATCACTGACACCACACCGTACGCAAACACACTGGGGTTTAAGTAAAACTTACAAACAAACCAGGGCGTCCTGCAGCCTTGCACCTCGGAGGGTCGTGATCCAAAGCGCTTACTCCCACAGCGAGTCTGGGCGAGGGGTCGGTTGGCCATCGTTGAGAGCAAGGGGTTGGACCCGTCTCTGTGGAGCCCCGCTGTTCACGGGCCAGTTGACCCCCTCCTACCGTGTGGCCTTGCTAAGGGATCGCCCTGCTGGTTGGCTTCTCCCGGGGAAAAGTGGCTCCCAAACTCAGCGGCTTGAGACACCGTGCGTTCGCGCTCTCAGGCGCTGCGGGCCGGGAGCCCGGGCGTGGCTCAACAGGGTCGTGTGCGGTGGGCTGGTGGCAGGGTGTCAGCCGCAGGTGGACGGTGGTGAGAAGGGGTGACTGGGGCGGGACCGCTGCCAACCAGCCCTGTTCAGTGCCACCCGCCGTGCCTGCCCCGTTCTACTCCCTAGAGGCAGGGGAGGGGCTGACACAGGGCTCCATGGGACATCTTTGTAGGGGTATCTACCTCCCCGTGCCCTCTCTGAGCCTCAGGTTCCTCACCCGGAAGAAGGACAGTGAGTCCCTACTTCCCCGGGGGCGGTGGCCACGGAGGATGTCTTGGGGCAGAAGAGGGGCCCGGGCACCACGGGGCACCTGGGGCTCTTTCCTCCCGGAGACACCAGCTGGGGATTCGGCCCCCTTGGCTTGGGTGTTCCCAGCATCACGCGGCTCCGGTCAGAGGCGAGGCGGGCAGACGTTGAGCTTGGCAAACACAATTCCCGACTTCCCAAGGGCCGTCATTTGTTCACTCGTTGGCCCGTCCCCTGTGTTAGTTTCCAGCGGTTGCCGTGACAAAGGACCGTAAGCCGGATGGCTTACACAGCAGAAAGTTACTGTCTCGCTTTTCTGGAAGCTGTGAGTCCACGACCGAGGCGTTGGTAGGGCTGGTCTCGTGTGACGACCGTGTTCCGTGGCTCGTGGATGGCCGTCTCCGTGGTCACCGGGCAGTCTCCCCATACACGTGCTGTGTCTCAATTTCCCCCTTTTGTAGGGACACCAGTCATATGGGATCGGGGACCCGTCCTCCTCCAGCGTGACCTCCCCTGAACTGCACTGATTACATCTGCAACGACCCTATTTCCAAAGGAGGTCACGTTCTAGAGTCTCAGGGGTCAGGACTTCAGCGTATGAATTTGGGGGACACACCACGCAACCCATAGCACCCAGCAGTGAAGGAGTCTTTGTGTGTGCCACTCTGCCTCTGTCCAAGCTCACCCCTACCCCAGGACCCTTGTAGGTGCTGGTCCCCTCCGCCCGGAAATCCCTGGCTCTTGTGGGTCGGGTCTCCTTCTCAGCTCAGATAGCGGCTTCTCAGCGGGAAGTTCTTCAATGTCCCTCCCCTCCAACCCTCCTCTATCATCTCCTTGCTCTGCTTCAAACACACCAGGCTCATTCCTGCCCCACGGCCTTTGCCCCTGCTGTTGCCTCTGCCTGGAACCTCCTTCGCTCACCTGGTTCCTTCCTTCATCGTCTTGGGTTTTGGCTCACGTGAGACCTTATTGCCTAGACTCTCCCTCCGGCCCGGCAGTCAGTCCCAGAGTGCTCCTCCCTACTCATTTCCCCTTGCCAGTCTCCCTGCTGGGAGACCCCCCCACTGCCTTAACTGTTTCTTGCCTCCTCCACCCCAGACTGTCAGTCCCACAGGGCAGGTATTGTTGTCTTGGTCCCTGCTGTGTCCCCAGCTCCTAGAACGGGACCCAGCTCACAGCAGCACCTGGTGAATAAACGTTTGTGCAATCGGTGAATCATGACTAATCAGAAGATCTCGGAATGACGGCCGAGACCTCCAGCGTGCAGGCTTGGCATCTCAGCATCGGCACCACATCTTAGAGTCAGAAGGAAGGGAGTTTTGGAATTTTCCGACTCCAGTCCCCCCCCCCCCGCCCTCACACACACACACACACACACACACACACACACAGCCTCCTGGGCACGGTTCAACAGCTCGCCTTGGTTACCTCCTGTGATGGGGACCTCATTACAGCCCAAGGCGGACCAGTCAGGTTCGGGGCAGGTGCACAGGTGTGAGAATCCCTCCTTGAGAGCCAAGCCCACGGTTTTTTTTCCCCTGGCGACTCCCTGCGGTCTCGGAACCGCCCCTCACCTGCGGGAGGGGATCTCAGGGCAAGAGCCCCACTGTCTGAGGCGCCAGGTCCTTTTCTGAGAAAGATGATGGCCGAGGGGTGAGCCGCTAACCACAGAGCTGACGGGGAAAAGGTTAACTGATAAGGGACGCGGCTGGCTGATAAGGGAACTGTTGGCAGATACCCAGCGGTAGGTAAGAACTAAAGTGCTTTGGCCGATGACTCCTTCCCCCCTCCCTCTCCCCGGTCCTCCTCCAACACGCCTGGAGCACCTCCCGGAGTCCAGGCCCGGCGCTGGGAGTGACAGTTATAAACATGGATCTGATGCCGTCGCTCCTTCAGAACACGGGCTGACGCATCTGAGATCTAAGCTCCCTTGGAAACCCCCAGAACCAGCTAAATCTCTCTGACAGCAAAGGCTCGGAGCTGGGATGGCGGGCGGCAGCCAGCGGAGGGGGGGGGGGGGGACGCGCCCCGCAGCTCCTGCCTGTTGGTGGCTCAGGTGAACCCCCGAGTCCCTCCCTGCTGCTGGCACTTCTGGGCCGGCGCCTGTCTCTCCTGCGTGGGTGGCGAGCGACTTCATCTGGCCCCCGTGGCTGTCACTCGGCCCCAGTCACACTGGAGACAACACGGTTGCCATGGAAACGAACACGCTTCCCCCTGGGGGGGCGGGTGAGCCAAGGGAGCCAGAAACCGTGTGTGGATGTGTGAATTCGGCACAAAGTGACCCAGGCCTGGTGACTCAAGTGGTGGGGGTGGGGCGGGGGGGGGAGGTTTAACTCCTTCTCCGCTGCTCGCCCCTCCTCTCTGGGTCCTCCCACAGTCTGGGGCCTCCAGGGAGCCGGGGTTCAGCCTCAGAGTTAAGCGTTAGTCCCCGAGTGCCTCGGGGCTGGCTCTGACTCCAGGCAAGATGACCTCTTTGTGCCTCAGCGTCCTCACCCAGAAAGTGGGTACGAGAAGGTGCACTGTGGAATGCACGCTTATTGACTGGATGTCTGCCACGCTCTGGGCACTGTCCTAGTTCCTCCCTCGGGGCTCCCAGACCATGGGGGAGAGTCAGACAACAAAGAAATAAGGGAATTAAAGAAAAATCAGAAAGCGTCAGGCAGGGAAGGCAAAGTGGAGGGATGTGATAATGAAGGGGGGAGCATCTAGCGGGGGTCCGGGGGGCACAGGGAGGAGGTCTGACACGTGACATTGGAGCTGAGACCTGAAGGATGAGAAGAACCCAGGCATGGGGACATCTGGGAAGGGCGCTGTCCAGGTGGAGGGTGTGGCTGTGCAAAGGCCCTGGGGCAGGACCGGGCTGGGTGTGATGAAAGAATGGAGAGGAAGCCCATGCGGCTGGAGCACAGTGAGCCACTGGGTGAGAGGGAGGAGGAGAGGCAGAGAGGGGACAGGAGCAGGTCGTGCCGGGCCTAGGGGGCCGCGGGGAGGACTTGGGTTTCTACCCCGGGCCGGGGGGGAGAAGGGGGGCCCAGCCCTGGCGGGCGGGAGCTGACTCGGGTGCTCACGGGCGCCCTCTGGTGTCCGCTGCGGGAATGACAGCCGTGGGGGGAAGGGAGGGACTGGAGACCAGCGTCGGGGCAACCGCCCTGGTCCAGGAAAGAAACACGAAGGTGAGCCAGGCAGGGGCTACCTCGGCCGGCCTTGCGGTGGCTTTTGTCACCACTGTGCTGGCGCATTTACAGGTTGAAATGCACAGAACTTTATACCAAAGGGTGTTCTTTTTATTTCTCCCTTATATGATAAGGAGCAAGTCAGGGTTTTTGAAATTGCCTGTGGAGGTGGGTTATGTTGCCTATGAATTTTTTCTCTCGGATGGGCCGCGACTCCCAGCCCTGCGGCGGCCCCTGCTGTGTACCTGTGTGGCGCATAATAAACGCTCAGCGATCCGGGCCCGTGGTTCATGGGGCCACGGAACAGAGGCAGGAGGGAGGCGGCGTCCTCCCCAGGCTCCTGGGCGCCCCAGACACGGTGCAGCTCCATGTGTCAAGGGACCCATCGCAGTCACCCACCGATCTCTTTTTCTGGATGGAGAAACAGCCTTCCAGAGAAGGCAAGCCATTTTCCTAGTGTCACACAGCCCATTATGGCGAGCCTAAGTTTTAAACCCTAGCTGTTCGGGCCAGTCCAGGCGCCTGGGGGTGACAAATGTTGGCTCTGCCTTTGGGGACAACCCTGCTCCCCCGCTCACAGCCTGGCCCCACACCCTCATCCTTCTGACTCTGGGCCGACCCTAAGCAGGTTAGCGGGGGGGGGGGGGGGGGAACCTCACATCCCTCGGCCCCAGCGATTGGTTCAGGGCCAGCCATGTGACCCCAGTCCAGCCAATCAGAATCAGCCACGGGTTTTGCTGGGACCAAGAGGAGGGTTTCCGTTTCTGCTCGGGGGTGTTGACTGGAAAGAGAGAAAAAAGCTTGGAGCCTGGGGTCTCTGTTTATTCCGTGAATGGGATGCCTGACCTGTGAGTGAAGCCCACTCAGAGGAAAGTCAAGCTGAGACACAGACGTGACCGGCTTCCAATGACAACACCATCTCAACTCGCGGATCCAGGCTTTGTCAGAAATTGGGAACCGGGGACTTTGCCGTCGCTGGAACCCGTTCACGTGCTGGTTTTGCTTAGACGTGTTTAAGCCCATTTGCTCACAACGAAACAGAGCCCTGACCAAGCCACCCGGTTTCATGCCCTCCAAGTACATGTCCTGCTATGGTTTCTTCATGTGCTGGAAAGGTATTATAAAGGGGGGCATCAGGAGAGTTTGGGGGGGGGGTGCTGTACTCATCTTGATTTGGGTGATGGTTTCACGCAAATACACACGTGTCAAAACCTATCGAGTTACATACATTTTTGCAAATTTATATGTCAACAGTAAAGGCACGTGTGTTTAAAGGAGCATCGATAGCATCATTCCAGCTCCTGGATCCAGCCATGCCTGAAAGCAGACAGTTTGGACTTTCCAGATACATAAGCCAATAAATGTGCTTTTGTAGGAATAATAATTGTGACTGTTAATTTTTATTTCATTGTTAGTTTTCTTGGCCTTTCTCTGTCTCGTGTTGCAGTCTGGATACAAGAGGAGACCAAGAGAGGGCAGCGGTATGATGAGAGGCCTCCAAAATTGTGTCCAGGAAACTGCTGTGGATAAAGAGTTTATGTTCACGCTCATCTGGGAAATTGTTCAACAGGTATCTCTTCTGCAGAACTTGTCAGAGCCTTTAATATACGAATGGGCCAACTCTGAGGCTTGCTCTACACAGGCTACCAGAGGTCCCCAAAATGTCAGCCCCGGATGCCCACCACAGCCACCTGGTCATCAGTGCCCCCCTGTTGGCTCCTTACGCTGCCAACCTCCACCTCCCCCCACTTTTTCCTGCTTCCTGGAATCACCTTCCAGGTAAACACTCTCGGCTCCCAGAAAGCTCCACCCCTTAGTCTTTCAGAACCCACAGCCCCAGGACGCCCTCCCGCTTGGACCTTGGAAAGTTCATGTGCTTTTCCCCCCCTCCCCTGTTGGAAAACACCAGAACGACCAGGAGGCCCTGTGTCTTCTGGCCTGGGGACAGAGCCTCTCCCGGCTGCCCCCACTCCTCTTGCAGCCCCGCCCTGAGCCTTTGCTTATACTGTGCCCTCTGCCCAGATGCCTATCCCTTCCACCTAACCAAATCCTCTGGTGGGTCAGATGCCCCTGGATGCTGGGGCCCACAGGGACTCTGGATCACTTAATAAACCGCATAATTGCCGTCCCAGCCCTCTTTGACTCCCTCTGATGATGCACAGGAGGGAGCCTCCCCCGGGGACTGCGCAGACGCCTCGCTGGATGAGCCGACCACGTTTTGTTTCCATCCCGCGTGTTTTCGCCGCCCGCCTGCTATTTGTGACAGGTGCGAGCCGCTCTCCATTTCCAGGAGGGAGGCGGAGACTGTGTTTTTAAAGACACGGACTTGAGAGGACGTGAGGCAGCTGGAAGGCAAACACCGAACAAACCGCGGAACAGGTGGGGCCGAAGTTGGGGAAACGCCCGCCTCTTTCGGGAAGCCCTCCCGGATTGCCCGGGCCAAGCCCCGGAGGTCTCCGCGTGGCCTCCTGAGGCCCCGCCCCTTCCCGTGATCCCCCCCCCCCCACGTGGGCAAGCGCCCGGTGCCGCTTCCAAATCGGGGGGGCGACCGGGGCAGATGAGCGGCGTCTCTGGGCCTCCGGCTCACCGTCTGCGCTCCAGGGGCCGTGGCGGCGCTGGGATCCGGGGTGCGGGCGCCTCTTTGCCGGCTGGGCTGGCCTCCCGCCGCTGTTGGCGTTGCCACGGTTACCGAGCAAGCCCCCCCCCCCCCCCCCCCCCCCCCCAAACCCTCACCCTCGGACTGGGCCCTTCAAGGGACTCGGGCTCCTGGGTGTCATGGAAACAGTTTCCAGGCCCCCAAGCAGGTGGAGTTGGATGCGCGGGTGGAATCTTGGCTTTTAACTCCTGGGGCAGCTGACAATGTCCACGAACCCCCGGGTGGGGCGGGAACCTTTAGCCGCTAACCCCTAACCGCCCCCACACCATGCCCCCCCCCCCCATCTCTGTTTTAAGTTAAATGCCCTGGGCTCGCTCTGTAAACGTGGAGCTGTAAACGTGGAGCTGAGAGGAACCACCAGCAGCCTCTCCCTCTCCTTCTGGAACCTTCTCCCAACAGTGATGGCTGCCACAGAGCAGGGGCTGGAGGCCATGACCCTGTACTCTGGAGCAGGTGAGAACAGGCCGCCCCCCGGCCCCAGGTGGGGGGGGGGGGGGGGGGGGTCTGAAAAAAGCAGAGCTGCTAATACTCAATGGGAGGTTTCCATGTGTGGGCCCTATTGTCGACACAAACGCAGAGTAAGTCCTTACGTCCGTAGGACAAGGTTAAAGGTACCATAGCCCCATTTTAGAGATGGGGAAACCAAGGCCCAGAGGGGTCAAGTGCTTTGCCCGAGATCGCACAGCATGACTGCGAGTGGCAGCCTGGGATTTGAACTCGGGCCCCGTGGCTCCGGGGTCAACAATTTTCACCACTAGGCTCCTCGGGTGCTTCTGATCACGTGACCGACTGTCCCAAGGTGACATCTGCCATTGGAAATGGGCGCGGGGGTCTGGGGCTGAGCGGGAGCTACCAGGAGGGGCTGGGACGCTGGGCAGCCAGAGGGAGAGACGGGTGCTGCCACGGGGTGGCCCGGGGGCTCCAGACCCTTCTACGATGTCCGTCAGGGAGCGTGGAACCATCCAGAGAAACTGACAGGCCACATTGAAGAGGTGAGCCCACCGCGCAAGCCCGGCTTCGAGATGGTCCCCTCCGACCCCCAGCCACTCTATTCTTTCCAAACAGACGCTGCGGCCGAGCTGCCTCCGAGGCGTGGAGATTCTGGAAGGAAACTCGGGCTGGGGAGGAGGAACGAGTTCCGGCAGAGCGGGCACGTTTGATGACAGCCGCTCGTGTGCGGAGAGCTGTCCCAGGGGCCCGGGGACGCGGAGGCTCAGCCGGACAGAAACCCACTCAGGTCCTTGGGGTCAGAGGGAATCCAGAGAGGAAATCAGGAGGCCGGGCTAAGTGGGGAGATTGGAAGAAGGGACATTCCAAACGGGGCTAATTGGGGCGCCTGGGTGGCTCGGTCGGTTAAGCGGCCAACTTCTGCTCAGGTCATGATCTCGCGGCCCGTGAGTTCGAGCCCCGCGTCGGGCTCTGTGCTGACAGCTCGGAGCCTGGAGCCTGTTTCGGATTCTGCGTCTCCCTCTCGCTCTCTGCCCCACCCCCGCTCATACTCTGTCTTTTTCTCCAGAAATAAGTCAACATTAAAAAAAATTACTTAAACGGGGTAAGAGGAGGAGTAGGAGCCTGCCAGGCACAAGGTAGGAGGCAAAGGGAGCTGCCGGGTAGAGCAAAGGCCGGGCGCCCGGATGGTGTCTTGCAAGGTGACCCGTGTGGCTGGGACAGAGGGTGACATGGGGCAGGGAGGACGTGGACATTGCTGTAGACTGAATGTTGTGCAGTCAGCAGACTGAAATCGACTCCCCAGTGTGATGGTATCGGGGGGGGGGGCCCGCTGGGAGCCCCCCATGAATGCAGCCAAGTCCCCTTCTGAAGGAGACTCCAGAGAGCTCCCTCACCCCTTCCTCCGGGTGAGCACACAGTGAGGAGACGGCCGTCCCTCCAAACCAGGAGCAGGTCCTCCCCAGACATTGAATCTGCAGCTCCTTGATCTCGGGCTTCCTGCCTTCGAAACCGAGAAGCAAATGTGTGTTTCTAAGCCACTTGGTCTGTGGACTTCCGTTCTAACGGCCCCGATAGACTAAGGCAGAGATGAACGATGCCAGGGAGGTCCGGAGGGCTTCTGGGAGGAGGTGACATTTGAACAGAGACTTGGAGGAGGAGCTGGCCGTGGGGGAGGTGTGGGGAGAAGAGCATTCCAGGCAGAGGGAACAGCGTGGGCAAAGGCCCTGGGGCAGGACGGTGGCTGGTGTGTTCAAAGAACAGCAGAGAGGCCGGTGTGGCAGAGGCAGGCTGAGTGAGGGGGGTGGGGGGCAGGGAGGCCGCCGGGACCAAACCCAAGGAGCGCTCTTACACCAGTCCAGGCGAGCGATGCTGGAGGCCCGGCCCTGCGGTGGCGGTGGAGGGGGGCCCAGTGCTTGGATTCAGAGTATAATTTGGAGATAAAGCCCCGGGTCTGGGAGGGGTGAGGAGGGAGGGAGACGGAGGAACCAGGGGTGCCGGGCGGGTTTGGGGCCCTCTCCTCCCCGGCCCAGAGGAGTCCAGAGGGAAGCTTTGGCCACGGACAGATGGTGGGACCGGAGGGGACTCAGGGCCACCCAACCTCCAGGAGACGTCAGCGCGTTTCGCAGCCTCCCGGTTCCCACCAGCTGCCGGCGACATGCGGCCCAGATGTTTCATCCCATCTGCGCCGGGCCTCCCCCGGCACCAGGCGGGTCTCGTCTGCTGCGGCGACATCTGGGGCGCCTCGGAAGCGGAGGCGGCGGGGCGGGGCGGGGCCCGAGACGGGGACCCTCGTTCTTGGCCGGAAGGCCGTCTGCGGCTCCCACAGGGGCGGGGCGCGTGGGGGCCCAGGGTGGCGCTGGCCGTGGTGCGCGTCCTGCTCGAGTCACCAGGTGTGACCCCTCCCCGGAAGGGGAGGAAGCTGGGGGCCCTACACCAGGGGCTTGGGGTCACAGTTTCCAAGGACAGATCCCCACGTCCGAGTCTTTGCCCCTGCCTGGGTGGGCTTCTCAGGCCTCCTTCTACTCTTTTCCTCGACAGGGATGGATTGAGCACCTGCTGTGTACCAAGCACTGCCCGCCCCCCCGGAAGATAGCAGTGACCGAAACAGACTGAGAAAACCGCCGGAAAGCAAAACCCAGAAAACTCTCGGGCCTCGGTGGCCTCAGGCTTTATGTCAAATTAACACGCGGGTAAATAAGATACTTTCCAAGCAGGTAAGTGCCGACAAGGCACCAGAACGTGAGGGAACGTGAAGGGAAGGACCGGAAAGCTTCTTGGGGGGCGGGGGGGCTTTCGGAGGGCGTGGCATCGAGAGCTCAGGCAGGAAGAAGCGCCAGCTGTAGGGAGAATGGGGGGGGAAGGACATTCCAGAGAGCGGGAGCGGCAAGTGCAAAGGCCCTGAGGCAGGAGGGTGCCCGGCAGACCGCTCCAGCGGTTGGACCCGTGTGAGCGACGGAGGACTAGGAGGGAACAGCAGCCACGATGGTGTTGGCGGTCGGGCACAGAGGACCCCGAGAGGGTGTGGATTTAGCCACGTGTGCGCAGGGCTCTCTGCCCCGAAAGCGCCTCCGAGGGGGGGGGGGGAACAGACGCGTTCGGGGTCTTTTTCAACTAGACCTCCGAGAGGGCGGGCCATGTGCCCGCCGACACACGGCGACACCAGGCACCAACCTGGCCCCCCTTTCCCCGCAGCCTCGAGGTTCGGGGGGCCCCAGACCCACCGAGACTTTTCTCCAAGGAAAGACCAACGTTTGCGCGGCCAGCTCCAGAGGGGATCTCCCGGCCGGCCGTCTGGGGGAGAGGTGGCAGAGCGAGAAGAGGGAGGGGGGGAGGGGGGAGGGGGAGAAGTGCAATATTTCTATTGTCCTTATCCAAATAAATTGAGATGTATTTGTGCAAGTGTCAAGGAAACCTCCAGGAGCGAAACTATAAAATCACGCAGCTGCTCTGAGGGCCCGTGACAGACAGCTCAGATTAATGTAGCTGTATTTTTATGGTCTGTTAACAACTGATATGGGTTTTAAATATATTATCTTCCATTGTATTGTCTGTCATTTTAAAAACTGCTCATGTCTCCTGTGTTTGCTTTTAAAAGGTTCTTATAGAACATTCCGCTGCTGAGCTCTCGCATCTTCTTTTCTGTCCCCCTCCAGGAGATATATCACTGCGGATCTTCTCCCCCCCCCCCCCCCCCCCCCCCCCCCCGCCCCTGCCGCCGCCCCGAGCTAGGTTTTCCCTGGTAGTTTCACGGCTAATTGAGCACAGAACCTATTGGAACCCCTCGAGTTTCTTAATTCAGGGAGCAGCTGCAGGAGGCCGGCGCCCGTCTAGTTGGAGATTTCCGGTGGGGCCGCGTGGGGCTCCTCCGGATGGGACAGGTGCGTGGGGCGCGACGGGGCTCAGCTTCCACGGCGGCCGGCAGGAGCCTGACCCCAGAGCGTCCTGACCCTGTTGACGGAGCCTTGTAGCAGTCAGCTACGGCTGCGATGATGCCACGTAACGAGTCCCCCCATGGCTCGGTGGCTGATATAGCAACCAACGCGGGCCTCTTGCTTCTGTGTCTCTTCTCTCTCTCTCTCTCTCTCTCTCTCTCTCTCTCTCTTTTGGCGAACTCGTCCTAAATCTCTCCCGACGTTCCCCCCCTGCCCTAATTCCACACCCCAGCCAGACTACTTCAGTAACTCTCAGCCCCCCGCCCCGCGCCGTGCAGATGCCCAGCTCTTTGCAACACCCACACCCACGTGCGTGCTGTTCCTTCTGCTGAGAATTCCCTTCTGCCTCACAAACTCCTATGCGTCCTGCACGACCCATCCTCTAGGGCCCCTCCTCCAGCAGAGGGCACCCTTGCTCCGCGCCCCCGCTCTACACCGAGGCTCTGCGGCTCCCACAAACGTGACGGGAACCCCGCTTTCGCCTGTTGCCCTCTCGACTGGACGGCGACCCCCCTGTGGGCAGGGGTTCCGCTTTCCTCCTCTGAGCACTGCCAGCCCCCACCCCAGGGACGCGTGTGGCTCTAACCACACAGAGCGGGGAGGACGCCCTAGTGCAGGCATTGATTACAGCGTCCCGACAATTAGAAGCGAGGCCGGCAGCCTATAGAAGAGCGGGCAACCACAGAGCCATATATAACGAGGTACTAATTGTGCAGAGAAGACAATTAGGGAGGCTTTGAGTCACCGGTTCCGCGGTCTGGACAATTAGACATCGGGCCGTATATAAAGGATGTGCTAATCGCGTGCTTTGGACAATTAACAGGGCGCCCGGGAAATAATAAAGCAAAATGCCACCGTGCGTCCCAGGCTCAGAGCCAGGAGGTGCGGCCTTGGGGACCGGAGTCCGGCTGCGTGGGCTTGGATCTCCCTGCGGGGCCTCACACGAGAGCCGAAGACCCTCTCCGAGCCTCGTCTTTTCTCATCTGTAAAATGGGGCCGTCCGTGGCGCCTGCCGCAGCGGGTGGACAGGGGCCAGGGGAACAAAGGCCGGCACCCAAGGCCGTTGGCACGACAAACGGCGGCGGGGCAGCCTGCCAGGAGGCGCTCGCCGCCGAGTCCTGGAGGCTGCGAGGTGCCAGGCCCCCAGCCCAGGCGTGGCGAGCGTGGACGGCGTGGATGACGAAGGGAACCTCAGAAGAGGACGCACGAGGTGAGAGGACCTAATGAGGTGAGCGTTACTGACTCTGAACAATGCGGAGGAGGCCGGTGGGATGTCCCAACCCAGCCCTTGTAACCCCCCAGGTGGGGATTTGCCCTCAAGCATGTGCCCTGCAACCCGTGGGGCAGACGTGGAGCCGGGGGCTGTCGGCCGTGGCCCGCGCCAAGGCCCTGAGGCAGGGCCGTGTGTTTAAAGAACGGTGAGGCCGTATACCCCCAGATAACCGAAAGCAGGAACTCAAACAGATGCTTGTCTATCGAGGGCGGCCACCGGGCCCTAAGTGGGAGTGCTCCGGGTGAGCAAAGAAAGGAGTTCTGGGCGGGGAAAACTGGATTCGAAGGTCTGGAAGCGGGAGCAAAGATGGAGACCGAGGGTGATTCAGGAGGGGTGGAGCTAAGTCCCGCAGGGCATCGTGGGCTGCAGGGGAAGGGGTAGGATTGGCTCCAGAGGGCAGCGGGAGCCAAAGAAGGTTGTAGAGCCCCAGAAGAGCTGCCTCTCCCACCGGGGCTTGCTGTGAGCTTCCTTCCTTCGTCCTGGGCAGGAACGCCTCAGGTCACTTTTGCTGTCACGCAGTTTGGAAGCAGCCTGGGGCCTCCCCTCCCCCACCCAGCCCGTGAAAGCCGGGACCGGGGAAGGTCTGGGCGAAACCGGAGGAGCCCGCCACCCTCTCCGACAGCCCAGCCGTCAGCACAAAAGCTGATCGATCAAACCACAGGCTTTTTCCCACCCAGTCGCCCACACGCCGGGGACCTCGGAGAGGAATCACTTAGGGATTAGGGAAGCAGCGGGACCAAGTGCGGCTCTTTTGCGGAGCACTTGTTTCGAAATCCGGCCCTGCCCTCTTCCGCCCACAGCCCTCCAGGACTCCCAGCTCCCTCAGGAGAAAAGCCCACGTCCTCCCAGCAGCCCCCAAGGCCCTGCACGATCTGCCCTGCCCCCTCCCTGCCCTCCCCTCCTCCCTCTCTCCCCGCCTCGTTTGCTCACTCTGCTCCAGCCACGCGGGCCTCCTCGCTGTCCCTACCACACACCAGGTGGGGTCCCGCCCCAGGACCTTTGCACGGACTACTCTGCCTGCTCGGGACACCCTTCCTCCACGGGTTCCCATGGCTGTCTCCTTCTCGCTGTTCAGGTCTCAGCTCAGATGTCCCCAGGTCAGAGAGGCCCTCCCAGTCCGTCAGGCTAAAGTTGCATCCCCTCCCCGCTCCATCATCCTGCTTCTCTTCTGCCCATCGCTTATCACTGCTTGAAATCGCCATTCTGGGACCGCCTGGGGGGCTCAGTCGGTTAAGTGTCGAACTCTGACTCAGGTCATGGTCATGCTCTCTCGGTCGGTGGGTTCGAGCCCCGCGTCGGGCTCTGTGCTGACGGCTCGGAGCCCGGAGCCTGCTTCCGATTCTGTGTCTCCCTCTCTCTCGGCCCCCTCCCCCGCTCACGCTCCGTCTCTCTCGGTCTCTCAAAAATAGATAAACGTTAAAAAAAAAAAATGGAAATGACCATTTTGAGCATTTGTCCCCTTGGATATTTCTGTGTCTCCCCAGCTCCCCGCCGCTCCAGGAGGGCGGGAATATCACCCGTCTTGCTCCGCGGGCTCTCTGACGTCCGCAACAGGGTTGGCACACGGTGGTCAGCACGTGCCCGTCGAGGGAATAAAGGGACAGACGGGGCGGAGAGGGTAAGAACGCCGACGGGGACATCAGAGAACTCGCGTTTAATTCCCAATTCTGCCGTAGGCTGGCTGTGTGACCTCGGGCCAGTGGCTTAACCTCTCTGTGCCCCCATGTCCCCATCTGTCAAATGGGGCAGGCTGATGGGAGAATTCGCACAGCACGCCTTACCCAGCGCCCCACAGCTGGTCAGTCCTCCTGAGCTCCGCTTGCCGGACAGCCTCCCACTCTCAGAAGCCGAGAACCCGTGTCCCAGAGGCACCCCCCCCCGCCCCGGGCTTCTTACTTAACGGCCACCTATGTTTCCGTAAGGTGCACATTCCCTGCTTTATGCCCCGTGTTCCCCCCTGAGGGTCACGTGCCCCCAGCAACCCCCGCAGGCACATCCTGGGACACACCCGTGTAGCCGCTCCTCTGGGGTTGCGATCGGGGACGGGAGTCCCCGCGCCGCGGTTCCACCTGGCTGTTGGTAGATGCGGCCCCTGCCAGCTACACACGGCACCTGCCCCAGCGAGGCCCTCGAGGCCCAGCGATGGGGGGGGGATGGGCTGTGGCCAGGTGTGAATGGGGCGCGAACGGCCGTCCCTCTTCCGGGATTCAGTCACTCATTCATTCAACCAGCTCTTATCGAGCACCTGCCGGGCGCAAAGTCCTGTGGTCGGCTTGGCGATTTGCAGCAGTGGGTAAATCCCGGTGGGGTTGCTCACAAATCTGATGGGGACTCAAGGCCATGATCGATGTGGAAAATAGCAAATGGTTTGGAGAGGGCAATGGAGAAAAATGAAGCCAGGGGAGAGACCCGGGAGGGTCTCTGGAGGGGGAAGCAGTCCGGGCAGAAAGAGGAGTCCGTGCAAAGGTCCTGGGGCAGGACCGTGCCTGGCGTGTTAGAGTAACAGGGAGGAGGCCCACGTGGCTGGAGGAGGGTGAGCGAGGGGGAGAGAGGAGGAGGGGAGGGCAGGGAGAGGACGCGGATGGGGGCGGGGATGCCGGGTGGTACAGCGGTTAGGCCTCGGGCGCGAGACCGGCAGGAGTTCAAATCCTGGGTCTGCTCCTCCGTAGCTGGGTAACACAGGGACCCAGGCCCAGAAAGGCCCAGACCGGGGCCCCATGCCTCAGTTCCCTCATTTGCCAAGCGAGCCCATGCCACCCTATCTGCCTCATCGAATGGAAAAAGATCCAAGCAAGGAGGAGAGAGGCTTCATTGGTGCCTTCTGGGTCTGCCGGGCACAGAGACGGGGGGCCAGGAGGCCAGAGGGGGAGTGGCCTCTAGACAAGAGGTGACAGCTTCCCGCGACGGCTAGGCTGGACCCTCACCGCCAACCCATGCGGCCTTACAAGCCTCCTCCCCGTTCTACAGGTGAGAAAACCAAGGCCCCCCTTAGTAGGGCCACAGTAACGATGGAGTTAGGCCCATGCCTCGACTCGCCCCCAACTTTCTTGGGGTCCCCCCCCCGTTTCTTTCCTCTTT